CTTGGAAGCTGTGGGATTTTCTCCTTCCAGCTTCCCTTGACCTTTTTCCCTGTGATTCTCCAAGGAGAGAGGGTTGAGGCTGTCTCCTAGTCCATGCACCATGCCCTTACCACTGGTTTTCCAGACATTTGTGCCATTTGCATGGAAACTGTTGTTCTGGAGCAGACTCCCACAGACCTTAATGATTCTTCTTCCCTCCAACTGAAGAGTGTTACTTGCAACAGACACTAATCATTTCTCAATTCTTCTCGCTAAAATAACACTATTATAAGAAGCTCTGTATCCTGCCAGTCATCACGTCAGCCCTTGTTCTTAATCTTCCCCCAAAACAGACAATTATTGTCTTACTCTCCTACCATACAATTTGCCTTTGACAATCCAAAAATAAAGTAAAAATATTATAAGAGCTGAAGGCAAAGTTTTGGGTTTGTGCGTTCTCAAAAAATCTGTAAAAAGTTAATTTCTTGCAGTGCCTCCATTGAGGGACTCCTTTCACTCACTAGTTCTCTTGGATTTTTTTTTCTCTGACCCAGTGGAAGAGCTTTGTCAGAAACAGCAAATCTTTCACATGGGAGGCTCCGAGGAGCTGGTGCAGCATGCCATCTTTCAATGACTTGCTTCTGATATTAAGTTAACAGTAAACTTGAATCCTGCAAATCTAATGTAAAATTTGAAAGAGTTTCTTGCCTGCAAGCTGTGTTGGTGGCTTTTATACTAGGAGGCCACATCACTGTGACATAGGAATTACATATTGTGATTTTAATGTGAGGCAACGTAATGGGCATTGCAATTGGTGCAGTCTTAAAGCAGCACATGTTTATAAATTACTACCATATGCTGATTCTAATAGAGCAAATTTTATTTAAAATCATTATCAGACTCTTCACCTTTTTAAAATGAAATTTGGGTTTAGGCAGGTTTAATGTGGATTTGATATATTTAGTATAACAGATGATCAAATAAGGCATAAGAAATTGCTCTTATTAAAAAATCTGGAAACCCCACAACACAACAAAAACATT